TGTTCTAACCACTAGGCTATGGGATATTCTCATATGAGTTTCCTCACTATCTCCTATTGATGCTATTCCACTTGGGCTAAATAATTAAATAGTCCTTGGAGCCAGGGGATGAGACCCTGGGTCTCCCACCTCCCAGGTGAGTGACCTAACCCCACTAGACTACAGAATCATTCTCACTCTCTCGCTCTGCTCCGAAGACTAAGTATTTATACACAGTGGAACAGCTTCTGCAGGATGGACTGAGGGAGCTCATAACAGAATATCCCGCAGCCCAGTAGTTAGGACACTCTCCCAAGAGGTGGGTGACCCCGGTTCACACCCTTTCAACCCTCCTAGGAAGAGGGTGGGAAATGAACCACATCCTAGGTGAGTGCTCTAGCTACGGGACTAAAAGTTATCAGGTCATCACTGCTGCCGCCTGCTACCCTAGCTGTTCTGTGTGCAGCAAGACATGCACCTAACTCATTCTCACAAGAAATGATTTAGGCACTTAAACGGCATGACTCCAGGGGAGGGATTCCCAGTTGTGAATCACAAGCAGAGATAGGTGCCTCCTTGCATCCCAGATGCAAGTGCCTAACTCTGTAAGACAGGTGCGTCTTAGGACACATCCTTCTCCTCAGCATCTCCCATTAGGCTCCCTGCCTAATGTGCTGGTTTTATAGATCCCATTCCCATTCCTAGATGCCTCTCTCCCCCCTCTCTTACAGGGAGCTTGGGTGCCTAACTCAAGACTTTGTGGAGCTCATCACTGTTCCAGTGGTTTCCTAGCTGACTAAAAGTTAGGGGTAGCAACACTCAGCATCACAATGCCTAAGGCCCTCTGGGGATCTGGAACACACCGACTAACTCCAAACATCTCTGTGCAGTAGGTAAGTCAAGCTTAATGGAGGATAATGAGATACCAAGATTAAATGACTTGCCCAAGTCAGAGGCACGGCTGGCTCCAGGCACCAGCGGAGGAAGCGCGTGCCTGGAGCGGCACATGCTACGGGGTGGCATTCCATCCATTCTTGGGGTGGCACAGTCCGGGCGGCTTTTTTTTTTTTTTTTTTCCTTTGGCAGTTCGGGCGGCAGGCCAAGCGACTTTTTTTATTATTATTATTTTCTTTTTGCTTGGGGCGGCAAAAATGGTAGAGCTGGCCCTGGTCAGAGGCTATGCTAGAAATCCACAAGACCACATTGTCTCTCACAAGATTAATAATAGCCCTCAGGAAGCAGGGAAGTGTCATTTTATTGCTTTTAAAAATAGAAAATAGTCTTTCACCAACCTTTATGCATTATTTTTTAATTTTTTTACTCTGATCATCATATGCAACTAAGTCACTGTGCAATTTTTGCCTTGTATATTTGCTTTTATATTTATTTGTGCTGCTGCCAACACACATGGTACCAAAACAAAATGGGGAATTAATTTTCTGTCATCTTTGATCTTTCTTACCAGCTTTCTCAAAACTAAAAGTGCAGCATGAAATAGACTTTACATTAACTGCTTTAGGAGATGAAGACAGGTGATAAATTACTTGTCCAGGAGAATATGAGGTTATTAATCAACATTACCTCAGGGTGTAATGTTCTGAAGTTGTCAGGTCTTAAATAATAAGTTAAAAGGGCAATTTTTGGATTTCTATCAGCCTTAAATCTAAGCATGTTCTATAAAATGGAATTGACATCTGCTAGCCAGCTTGTCACACAAACAATTCCTAATACAAAACCCAGCATAAATTAAAATATTAAAATAAAACTTTCATAATTTCTTTTAATAGTAAGCTGTGGGCCTGATGCAACTGTATCTTACATAATTTTTTTTAATCATTATTTTAATAGTAATACAGGTGAAAGCAACTCCTTACTGCAGTCTAAAAATTATACTAAGTGGTGCTTTGCTGTTAAATGCCAATTCAATTTGCTGTCTCAGTTTCTTGTTTATCTGGCTTTCCAAGAGGTCATTGTTTACATGGTTCTGGGCTGCTGACCTATCTTTCCTAGGAATGCAACCCCTGGCTCATTGGACTGGGCATAATAGGACACCCTGATAGATCAGAACTCTGAGCTCCAGGGGAAGGAAAACTACTGCTGAATAAACAGTTTGCATGTGTGAACGTGCATGATTTTTCATGCATATGCTTTCAAGCCAGCATGAATTAATTTGCTTCTGCTGCTACGAGCCCTTCTGTCAAAGAGTCTTATTTTTGCTTTTTAGCACAATCTTTATAACACAAAAAATATGTAATGGTTGGGTTTGGGATTTCAGGAGTGGCATGGGAGCTTGCAATTCTCTTAAGATTTCCTCTGTTCTTTGTACTGCATACATGCCTGGGTTACAAGGAAAAAACATTCACCATTTGGAGAAGCTGCATACAAAGCTAATATACACATATACTATGTCTACACTATAAAATTAGGTCGATTTTAAAGAAGTCAGTGAGGTCGATCAGGGGCACCAGGACAGACATGGCTATCCTCCTCTTAGAACACCGAATGGGAGCCAGAGACTCCAGGTCATTCTCTTCTTTAAGTTTCGTCTGATGGTGATTCAGTCCTGCCTGGAATATCATACAAGCTGGAGGCTTCTGCCTCAGGCTGCTCTCCCAGCCAGCAGCAGCACACGGTCACGCCTACCCCTTGCTCCCATGGCTCATGAAGCCTGGACAGTAGTAAGGAGCAGTTCAACTATAGGCTGAGCGAGTGCAGAATGGTGGTAGAATGTGCCTTTGGACGTTTAAAAGCTCACTGGCGCTGTTTGCTGACTAGGTCAGACCTCAGCGCAACCAACATTCCCATTGTTATTGCTGCTTGCTGTGTGCTCCATAATATCTGTGAGAGTAAGGGGGAGACATTTATGGTGGGGTGGAAGGTTGAGGCAAATCACCTGGTGTCCGATTTTGAGCAGCCAGACACCAGGGCGATTAGAAGAGCACAGCAAGGCGTGCTGTGCATCAGAGAGGCTTTGAAAATTAGTTTCATGACTGGCCAGGCTTCGGTGTGACAGTTGTGTGTGTTTCTCCTTGATGCAAACCCGCCCCCTTTGTTGATTTTAATTCCCTGTAAGCCAATGGCTAATTGAAAAATGTTTTGGAAAGTATGTTATGAAAATGTTTAATATTAACTTATTTGTACAGTCAAGGAAAACATTCCATTCACATTCAGTAGGAAAATGAAAAACTGAAAGTCAGTATATTTACTTTGAGGTACTCTTAATGAACAGCAGCTTGTTTGAGTCTTTATGCAACATACAATCCAGAGATGCAGGGCAGCATTAATCTTCTTAGACTGCCTTTCTAATACAGAGCTGTTGTAGCCGTGTTGGTCCAGGATATTATAGAGACAAGGTGAGTGAGGTAATATCTTTTATTGGACCAACTCACTCATCTCTCACCAACAGAAGTTGGTTCAATAAAAGATATTACCTCACACACCTTATCTGTGTAATACAGAAAAAGTTATGTACATTGAATTGGCTCATTTAAATATTCAGTAAATGGGAAATGGTAGAACACTGCAAAGCATATAATGGTTTTATTCTCACTGGACGAAATTCAATTCCCACCTTCAACAAACATACTGGCTTCATATGGGGAGTTATATAGAGGTCAGAGTGTGGAAAGTGGTACTTTGCTCACCATGTATGCAGAGACGCCTCCCCCCGACCAAATCCTATGTGATATGTATATGTGGCCAATGGATCCACATAACTACAGACTCAGTAGCCACGCTTCCTCTACATGCTGAGCTATGCTCCCTGGCTGCCCTCCACTGGCACAGAAGAACTGCTCTGGTTCTCCTGTGCTGGCGCCTTTTCATGGCCCCTCCATCCAAGGGTGACTTTCACCCAATATACACAGAAGTAACAGAGTCCAATCTTCCGATTCGTTCAGGGTTTTATCATTCTAAATTACTACACTAACCAGATGATTATTCCCCAATAGGCTTAAATTCTAACAAGTTTCATGGGCTTTTCTTTGATATATATATTTTAGAATGTATAATTCTTCACAGCACAAATATCAAAGAAAGTCATTTCTCTGTTCAGATACTCTTTCACTAAAGCATAAGTCTAAAATAGGAACAATATGGCTAAGTGATAGGAAAAAAAATGCTCCGCTTTTTACTTTTAACTTCAAAATGGTTCTGTGAGGACAGCTGAGCCAAAATAAAAAACTAAAGGGAAAAAAAAGTAAGAAAAAGGGACCTCATACTTTACAATGACAAACCTACATGTTATGTTACTGCTTGCTCTGAAAGTCCTGCAGGAGACCACCTCTGCAGCTAGGTTTGTCCATTTCTTAAAAAATAAAGACAAGCAGAACTAGCTGCAGGCATCAAGGCATATTAACATTTTAATTCATGCCAGTATATTCTCTGAGGGCAATATTCGTTTGAAAGTATACAGAGTCTGCACGTCAGGAACTTTGTGAAATGTACTTTGGCAAAAGTCACTGAAGACCAGAAGAACTCTAGTATCTTTACAATTCCCTAAAAGGAGATCAGGCAAGCCCAAGAAAACAGATTACTGCCAATTTCAAACCAGGATGTTTTTGTTACTGATGTCTCTAATAAAAATAAATGGCTTTGTGAACATATACAATCCTTTTACAATTTCTTCTGTTCTAATTATAGTTGTAAATGTTCTTGTGATCTTATAAATGGTGTTGTATTAAGGATTCACCATTCAAACTCAGATTATGGATAGGGCTGAGAAAACAAGTAGCCAAAGTCATCAGCTAGCCTCTATTAAGAGAGTCTAAAAGGAGAGAGAGGGACAGAATATTAAATGCCTGGTTAGTGATTTAAAATCAAGGTGTTTGTTGCCAGTGAACTGAAAAAGCACCTTCACGACAGAATGTAATACAACTTTTTAGAAAGAGAAGATGTCTATTGGAAGAGGATTTTAGAAATGAAAGAGAATACCTCAAGCCCTCAGGTTAACAGGGAGGAAGCTTTGGGAATTCTCTCTGCTTGTTATCCTTGCGTTATAGTTGCAGCACTTTAATTCTCACCTTCTGGTGTCCAAATTCATTCAAGATGGTGCCAAGCTTTTTTGTATGGCTGCGTAGTTTATGAGCAGCAATTGCCGGATTGGGATCTCTCCAGTCAATGGACAGGCGATGGTTCCAGAGGTGTTGTCCCTCCTGAATATGAGCTGATTTGATACTAGGATCAAATCGATGCACCTCACATCCACTGTTGGCCATGCTGATCTCAAACTGGTTATCATCACTGCTCAGTCTACAAAAACAAACAAGATATTATTAATACTGCAAAAAGAAATTGTACCCAACCATAGATTGACCCCAGACTTTCATGGATACTCAAGGAGAGAGGATACTCCTACATATTGACTTTTGAAGCAAAGCAGAGGAACTACTTTTTAGATTGTAAACTTGCTGTATGAATGTACAGCACAATGGGGACCTGATTCTGACTGGATCACTAAAAATAAAAAAAATAAACAAATGGAACACTATATCTCCTGTTGGAGATTAGGAATCAACACCAATAACTTAACAGCAAAAGGAAATTTAAAGAAATATCTATCTTCCTCAGTGCAATATCCTAAGTGATCTTTAGGTTAATTTTTAGAGATTTTTTTTCTTTAAATTGCTATAACCCTATTTACACATCAAAAATATTTTAGGGTGATTGCATGAACTAAATTAATCAGAATAACTGAGTATAAATCAACATGTTGCACACGAATAGTTAAAAGAGCTCCCTCGGAGTCAAGAACCAAACCATTTTTTATCCAGGTGCACAACTTTAATAACATTCCTAGAGAGCTGATCTCCTTAGAACCTGTCTCCTTTTTTCCTTTCAGAGCAATGCAGAACATGACTTTGCATTTCAAGATAGTAAATTATGTATTAAGACATCAGTTCTGTCATCAATTAAAACGTTTGGGAATATACACACATTCCTCCATTTTCAATCTGCCTTCTCCCCACAAGACCACAAAACATTCATTTAACCCCCCGTGCACACACTCTCACAGTCCACTCTGATAACTAAAGTGTTAATAGAATGACAAGTTTTAAAATATGTGTAAAATTACTTTGTAAATTAGGCATATTTCCCACTGTTTCTAGGGTCTGCTGTTAGCTTCATGGATCCTTAATGGTGTTAGTTTAATTAATCCTTAAAGGGCTGCAAACACTAGCCACCATGGCCATCAGTAGGGATAGGACTCAAAATAACAAAAAAATCCAAAACACAACCCCATTACACTGGTGCTGTAGGGCTCTTGTTCCCCATGGGCTAGTCACTAGAGGGTGACATATTCACACACACACTTAGAGACTGGCTGTTGCTAGCACCGCAAGATGCAGAAGAAAGGGAAGGAGGTGTACCCCCAGTCCCTCTATCCCACAGAAAGCAGCCACAGTCGCAGTCCTTGCCCATGAGGAGTAAGGGGTCAGGGGGTGTGTGTATGTGTGGGGGGTATCATAGTGCTGCCATGCCATTAAAGAAGCCTGAGCTATACCTCTACCACATTCCACATCCAGTCACCCCAGGGCCAGTACTGGGTATACCTCAGCCAAAATTACATATGGCAGTGGAGCACTTCCACACCCCATGCCCTCCATTGCAGGCTGATGTAAAAGTCACATTAGGCACCTTATGTCACATACTTCTTATACCATCTTCTCCAAGCTAGACAAAGCTTGTCCCAGCATTTGAGATTCACAGTGGTTCAAATCCAGCAGAGTACAGTAAGACACCAATTTGTAATGAAGCCATAAGGTGCAACCAGAACACCCATGGCACTCGAACTAGAATCTGGGAGCTTTCGTTCCAGAAACTAGAGATTCTGACATTTGAACCAACAGAGAATTTCCATTAGCTCTTAGTAGTAGTAGGGCTTTTATCCTTTGTGGACCAACCACTACATGGCAACATGTTCACATATACATTTTGATACATACTCATTTATCTAATGTAAATCTGGGATCACTCCCTTGACTTCAGTGACTATCCAATTGTAAAATGTTGGCTGTTACCCAGTATATTATAATACAGTACTAAACCAATACTACAGCAGAGATGCTACTATATTTGATAATTTGAAATGTGACCAACATCTTCTGTCAACAAGTTTGGAAGAAAGCTCACCTATTATAATGGAATTCCTATAAAACACTCTTCTCCTTTCAGAAAGTGCAATGGTCAAAGAGAGGGAACAAGGGTTATAAAATTACTTCTGCTTATTTGTAAGGAGGATTCAGTTTTATGGGATTCCACTTCTGAGTAATTGTGTAGGAAGAGAAAACAGAGGCTTCCTTTCAAAATGTTTAATGCAATATTCTGAGGTTAGCAGAGTCAATGGGAAATATCTAGCTAAGATTCACATATGGTGTTGTTCAGTGGGATCATGGATGGAGGAAGGCCAGTGCAGTCACTTAGGAATAAGAAGTTAGATAATAGATGTGAAGATTACAATGAGCAAAAATTTAAATTATTCATAATTAGGGACTAATACTAGAGCTGATGAGCTCCTGATTGAGGAAGACATTTACCTCTGACAGTCTTTTTCAGTACTTTCAAATGGTACATTTCAGAGAGCCAGATGCACTACATCAGATGCAGGCAATAACTGCACTGCCTTCAAAAGGATTTTTGCCTGTATAAGGACTGCAGGATGAGACCAAGAGCATGGAAAACAGAAAAAGTATATGTGGAAGACAGGAAATTGAAATGTCTTAGGCCATTTGGGACATCAACAACAAACACAAACTGAAAAAAATAAGGGGACATTCAAAAAACAGAGCTGCTTATCCTTCTGCAACATTCAAATGTGGCTGTGCTGAGGGTGAGGGTAAGTGATAATGCAGTAGGGGAAACAAAGTAAACAAAAGATGCTTCAGAAGACAGATCATCTGTATAAGGAGCTTGAGTTAGAAAAAGAAAGGAGACCCCTTCATCCAACCGTGGATAGAAAACAGTTTCTGTCTCCAGTGACAGTAAAGTGAAACAGGCTATTCTCATTGAACTGTCTTTTATTTTACACTAAGTAAAGGTAGGGTGACTAGACAGCAAGTGTGAAAAATTGGGACGGGGGTTGGGGGTAATAGGAGCCTATATAAGAAAAAGACCCAAAAATCAGGACTGTCCCTATAAAATCGGGACATCTGGTCACCCTAAGTAAAGGTGACAACACAACACTGGTGTAATCAAGTTACACTGAAACTTCATGTACAGTGCACTGGCAGTGGAAGAGGCGGGTTTCAAAGTGGGGAGAAATCACACCCTGTGAATACCTTTTGTTCAAGGGGCCTCTACAGCTTGTGTAAAAGTGGAATAATCACTCTCTGGAGAGGGCAAACCAGGGATGAACTGGAACACATTGGGCATAGTGAGAGTGCAGTGCAGTATAGCTAGTCTCTACTTCTTGGGGTTCATAGAGGGCCATGAGAAACAGAACAGAAATTAGAGCTGATGGGTTGTTTTCTGACTTGCACTGGGAGCCAGGCAGGCCCTGCATAGCCCCAGAATACAGAGAACACACAGGTGGCATAAAGCCACCTTTGCCACACATCCCATTTCCAAGTGCACATTCCTGGCCTGCTCATGTATTACAGGTCTCAAAGGGACAACGACAGAGAGGAGCAGCTGTGAAAAACTTGCAGTTTTAAGGTCCTATCTTCCCCTTCTGTGGGATTTTCCATAGAAGGAGATAACCTAGGCCTACAGATGGGGGGTGGGCAGGAGGGCAATTTCCAGACCTGCCTTGTGTGTGACACATTTTGCATTGATTTTAAGGTAGTTTTTACATTATCTAACTCTTATACTGTAAGTTTTAACACAGTGTTTCAAAGAGACACTTAAAACCTCAACTGGTAAATTTTTGAAATCCCATATTATCCCAGTTTGAATGCCCGCATATTGTGTTTGTAACAGAGTTAGTTTAATATAAACAGATTTAGCATTGATAATGCTACAGCTCACTAATACATATTACAATTCCATATCATTCTGGGAAATCCTGTCCCAAAAGCAAAAAAGACAGCATGCATGCTAGTAGTCAAAATAGTTAAAATTAATATCAAAGGGCCTCCAGAGGTTTTAGGCATGGCTCACTCACCCTGACATACAACATTTCTCCCCTTTTGGCATAGCCCCCACACATGCAGAATATTTTGTTCAATTGTTAAAGATTACAGATTTAATGCAGGGTTGTCCCTTTTACACTCAAACTGAACTTCTGCATTTTTGTGACATCCTCTCCCACCGTGGAAGATGCTGTTCATTTGAAGCAGCTGTTTTTCATTTGCTCTTTATAAAATGGATTAGAGGAGAAGAACATTTAAAGGAGATTTTTGTCTTACTCGGAACAAAATTACTTTTCTGCCAGTCATAAACCAAAGAACAGAAGAATTAAGTGGTAGCGAGTCTGAAAGACTATAAATAGAGTCTGAGGGAATTAAAGACTGCTTCTCCGTAACCCAAAGTACTTTCTTTTTTAAAAAAAAGAAAAACCTGCTTTATGGGATGTATTTTGCTCGGGTGTATGATTATATATATACATGCATCTTATGAGGCTAGCCTAGCAAAAAATCTGCCTGGTGAAGGTGAAAAACTCAGACATACCCAAACTTCGTTTTGGTATTAAAATTACATAATGTTTGTTCGAAATATGCAGTGTAAATACTTCAGAAAATAAGAAGAAAACAGTAGGGAGGAGGAGCTCTCTCTGGGTAAAAACTCAGAACTCACCTGTACTTTTCCCCAATAAGAAAACTTTCTCACCCAACTATTTTTGGTCACAGACTCTTACTTCCTCAGATCCAAAGCCTACTGAAGTCAATAGAAAGACTTCCTTTGACTTTGATGGGCTTTTGACTAGCCCTTTTACTCTCATCCCTGTCATAATCACTGATACACAAACACATTTCTCAGTTATTCCAATCTTGAAGGAAATGGATTCATTTCTTTTTGCTCATTATTAAATCCACACTACCAAAAATCATAGAAATAAATTGTGATGGCTCAGGGCAATGGGAGATGGATTCTCTCACTATGTCACTGCTTTGAAACTGGCCTAGGAGTAGGACAGTGTAAACAAAGTTTAATTAAATGACAGTTGTTTGGTGAACTACATGAACTCCAATCTCAACATTTTGTGAACACTAAACTGGCTAAAACATTTTACAAGAAGGCCACAATTGTGTTTATTATTTATCACCTCAGCACAAGTGCTCTGTCACTCCTGATCACATAGCATGCTTTCTCACACTGGAAAATCTGATTCTTGGCTGCAGAGGGGTGAAAGATGTTTTACAAATAATTCCTTTGAAGTAACTAGTAATTATACAATAAATTCCTGCTTAGAGAAGGAAACTTTTGCTTCTCAGTTCACCTCATTAACTTCCATCTTCCTTTAATGGAACCATCACTCTTAAATTATTAGTTGTTTACTTTCCATCATGTGCATCATTGTTATGTTGAATATGAGAAAGAAAAGGGAAGGACCTCACAGAAAGAAAGGTTTTTTCTAAAAATCACATTCCACAACAGGGACCAATACTTGTCAACAAGTACTAAAGGCAACTGAATAAAACTCAAATTTTTGTTAGATAATACGGTTACACTTTGCTTTAAGAAAGGGCCTTTTCATGCTAAAATGCATTCATGTTAAAATGCTTTGCTGTTCCTCCAAAAGGAGTACTTACCCAAGTGAATAGAGACGGCATTGCTTGCTTTTGATTCGATGAACTAAACTGAACCTGTCATCAAGACAGATTGACCATGGCTTCTTTATGGTTTTAGAGTTATCTGTCAGGCTGTTCATATTCATATGTTCACATGAAATCTGTTGAAATCAGAAGAGATTTTGTTTTAACGTGCAGAACATTAATCTTTTTAAATTACTCTTGGTTTACTTTGTGGGGGGAAGGTGGAGGGGAGGAAAATTTAAAATGGTTTAATTATAATCTGAGTTACAATCAGGTCCCTAGCTATGTTGATTGTTTTTTCCTTGTTTGTTTCTTTTGTTGGGTGAAGAATGTCATGGATCAGAAAAATCCCTCCTAACACCAATACAAATATTAAAGGCAAATAACTGAGCTTCAGCATTATATACTGAATACATTTCCCTAAAAACAATTCACTTGAGCATAAAAGTCAATTTATTTTTTCTTTCAAACACTGGACTGAGTTCTGCATTTTGTATCTTTTTGGAAAAAATCTCATAACACTTGATTATCTAGACCAGAAGTTCTCAACCTTTTCCTTTCTGAGCCCCCCACCCCCTCCACCCCCCACATGCTATAAAAACTCCATGGCCCATCCGTGCCACAACAACTGCTTTTCTGCATATAAAAGCCAGGGTCAGCGTTAGGAGGTAGCAAGCTGGGCAATTGCCTGGGGCCCCATGCCACAGGGGCCCCTGCAAAGCTACATTGCTCAGGCTTCAGCTTCAGCCCCGGGTGGTGGGGCTCAGGACCCTGGGCTTCAGTCCCATGCAGTGGAGCTTCAGCATTCTACCCTGGGCCCCAGCAAGTCTAATGCGAGCCCTGCTTGGAGGCGCCCCTGAAACCTGCTCAGGATCCCCAGGGGGCCCTGGACCCCTGGCTGAGAACCACTGATCTAGACTACAGGTCTGTGATTCACTGTTATTATTTATGCAGTGCCATAAGTTTGCTAGGCAATTTACAGGCAAACATAAAGTTGATGTCTTCTGTTTTGTCCAGGTAGAGTTTCAGACAGCTCACTCTCATCCAATTCCCAATCTCGACCAACACTAGAAAGCACAGACACTGACCTATCTGGAACTGATGAGACAGAACAACTAAATAACGGAGCTCGAATGAAAGTTGCAATTCAGGATGAGCTCTAGCAGTCACTATCCATATCTCTGTTTAAAAATAAACAAAACACTCACTTTTAATGAGGGGGGAGGGATAGCTCAGTGGTTTGAGCATTGGCCTGCTAAACCCAGGGTTGTGAGTTCAATCCTTGAGGGGGCCACTTAGGGATCTAGGGCAAAATCAGTACTTGGTCCTGCTAGTGAAGGCAGGGGGCTGGACTCGATGACCTTTCAAGGTCCCTTCCAGTTCTAGGAGATAGGATATCTCCATTTATTTATTTATTAATCTTTAAAATACCATTATCTGGAAAATTACCATTTGGCGGGTTGCATGCTGCATTTTTTCCCTCTTTAGCTCATAATACCTATGGTAAATTCATGAAAACTTGAATAGTTTTTCTTCATGCTGTCCCCAAGATTCACTAAGTCGTAAACAAGAATTTAGGCTTCTCTTCTCCCCACCCTCCACCCTGCCCCTTCCATTCAGTCATATAAAAATTAGCAAATAAATGGCATTGCAATAACAAGCACATAATATATTGGGGCTCCTTTTAAAATATATATAAAAAAAATCTGTACTCCACAGGAAATCAATTCGCAGCAAAATAAATAGTTAATTGATTCATGATACTCAAGCAATTACAATGCTCAGAATTTGGAAAGCTTTTAACAGCTCTTGGCAGCATGGGCAAGAGGAGAGGACACTAGACAGGGAGCCAGGAGCCCTGGGTTGCATTCCCAGTTCAGCCACTGGCCTGTTGTATAACCTTGAGCAACTCACTTCACCTCTCTGGGCCTGTTTCCCCTCTCCTCCACCACCCTTGTCTGTATTATCTAATTAGATTGTAAACTCTTCAGGTAGGGACTGGCTCTTACAATGTGTTTATACAGAGCCTAGCACAATGGGCTCCAATCTTGGTTGAGGCCCCTAGGTGTTATTTTAATACAAATAATAATGAATGAAACATATTAAGGTTCTCGTGATAATCTAATCTTAGTATTTAAAGTGCCTTCCCAGCTCCACACCTTGCTGAGTCCAAGGGATTATGATATTTTCTCAATTTGGCAGCACTGGTCTTTCATTTCATTGAAACTTGCTCAGTCCACAAGAAAAACAAGACCTGATGCCCAATTCTGTAAATATCTTTCATTTCTTGTGGCATTCACACCTTTCATGGGGCTATCACTGTCAGTTATTAATTCAGTAGCATCTGTTAGATCAGCAATGAGGGTTTCTTTCATTTCTTGATTTCACTTTTGCCTGCCCCAGAGGTCAGTCATCATTCTGGGAACTGAACCTCTTGATTGCTATGTCAAAAACTATAAACTCTTTACTAATTGATGCTCTTGTAGGTTTTGACCCAACTAGCAGAGTCTGCCACAATTTATTAAGTCACTGAATAAGGACTGTTTTCTGTGCTCTAAGCCTGCTTCAGCCTAAGCATCTCTACTTGACAACAAGAAGTATAATTAATTTGGTTCCATTTAGATCTTACTGTCTTCATTTGAATCATCTTCATTCCTGTTTTCTCAATATAGTTCATTCTAGTGAGTGTTTGGGGGCACAGATGTCATTGTAAAAATGATTCAGGTACTTCTAATCATACAGCTAGGGCACCCATAGGTCTGCAGATAAGCAGAGACTGTGTTACCCTCACAATTACCAACAAACAGGGATAGTGGTATATTTCTAGGTATGTTCGAAGACATTCTTTGCTGTCATCCTCAGAAACACTGTATAAAGAAAGAATTTCTTATGGGAGTGACACAAACACCCATCTTTAAAGTTCTTTGTTATTCCTAGGTGCAAGACACAGCATAGACAAGTTGCAAGTCAGATGTTCAGGGACTACCTGTTGGTAGATAAGGATATTAAAATACCCATCCTGTTCTAAACTATGGGCATCTAGCAGCCCTTCCCATTCTTTCTTGGGTGAAATACACATATAAATGTCATTGTACAAAGTTACATCTTTAGCGAGACATCCAGGCCTGATTTTCAGATGTGCTCAGCACCTGCAGTTCCCTTTGACTGCAACTGGAGTTTTAAGTGTTCAGCACCTCAGAAAATTAACCTCTCTCCCTCTCCTCCCTCCAGTTTTTTGAGTGAATATAAGAATATTTTGCTACAGAGAGATTGGATCTCTATTGACATTACTGGGGAAATCTGTTTAATATATAGGGACCTGCCACTTCTCCTAAACTGGTTGAGTACCTAGAATGCATATTTTTCAAGAAAATGTGCCTGGCTACCAAATTATTTAAAGGTCCTCCAGTGCCCATCACAATACTTTTGGGACCACCCAACCCCTGTGTGTCTATTTCTGATATTTCAGATGTACTGTACTTTGAGAAGAGGCACAGGTAGCAATGATGGATTTTATAAATAAATGTTCAAAGGAAAGGAGTCTCTTTCTAGCCTCTCTTTTAATCATCATATTTAAGTTGATCATCATTTTAAGTTGCACACCTTCAGAAACAAATATATATATTTGTCTAAACAAGATGCAACGTTCAACTCCATGGGAAGTGGAAATCATTGTAACTCTTGTTGAAGAATCTTTTTGGGGGGAAGAATTGATTGTGTTTTGCAAATTATTTTCAAACTGGATATCGAAATGAAAACCAACCTGAGGTGTGGTGATATACTTCAGGAACCTCAGGGCCTCATAATTCAGGGAAGGAGTTGGACTTGCCCAAGGCTGCAGGTCTACGTGCCATCGTATAGTCTGTAAATACAGACAAAACACTTGAAGGAATGGCATCTCTCAGTAAAAGCACAAAATAGAATACATTAAATGAGATTTAAGTTTAAATATAAAAAAGTTTTCTAAAATTTGTTACTGATATGTAGAAAATCAGAATGTGAATGGCTAAAATCCTACAATAGTTCACTATAAAATTTAATGTAGTTGAACATACCATTCCGCTTCAGTTTCTGGTAATACAGGGATCTTACACTGCAAACAGTAATTATCAACAATAAACCTCGACAATCAGTAGCTTTTCTTTTTTTAAAGTCTAGCTTTATAATTCAATATGGTATTCTGCATTTTTAAAAGAAAAGGTCCTTTATTCTTTCATGTTAGCCTAAAAAGAGTTATCAGAATTCTTTATTTTCCTGAAAAATGGCAGCATTGTTGCCTACAGTATTATAACTCCTTATTTTCATCTCCACAGGGAACTAATTTCAGTGGTTGCTTTTCATACTCTGTGAGGGGCCCATCAGCTCAAAACCTTGGAGATCCTGTCAGCTTTTCAAACAACACTTCCCACAGAAAGTAGGACACGAAAGGTCTTTCAGAAATCTGTTTGCATACCAACAGGGTGTTGCACTCCTAGCAACAATACCTTCCCTAAATGCAGCATGCTTTTATCATTTTAGCAATTTTAAACATCTAGCTCAGAGGTGGGCAAACTATGGCCCTGCCTGGCCCTTGAGCTCCCGGCCGGGGAGGCTAGCCTCCGGCCCCTCCCCTACTGTCCCCACTCCCCCGCAGCCACGCCACTGTGCGGGCAGTGCTCTGGGCGGCGGAGCTGCGCGCTCCTGCAGGGCAGCGCGGCAGCGTGTCTAGCTCCGGCCAGGCGGCGCGGCTGCCCGACATGCTGCTCTGAACGGCATGGTAAGGGGGCCGGGGCTCGGGGGGGGGGGTTGGCTAAGGGGCGGGGAGTCCCGGGGGCAGCCAGGGGACAGGGGGCGGTTGGATGGGGTGGAGGTTCGGGGGGGCAGTCAGGGAACGAGGAACGGGGGTTGGATAAGCATGGGCATCACGGGGGGGCCTGTCAGGGGACGGGGGGTGTGGATAGGGGTCAGATGGGGAACAGGGGGGGTTCGATAGGCGTGGGATCCTGGGGAGCCTGCCAGGAGGCAGGGGTGTGGATAGGGATCGGGGCAGTCAGGGGACTGGGAGCAGGGGGGTTGAATGGGGATGGGGTCCTGGGGGGTGGTTAGGGGTGGGGGGGGTCCCGGGAGGGGGCAGTTAGGGGACAAGGAGCACGGGGGGTTGGATGGGGGGGGGTTAGAGGGGCAGTCAGGGGGCGGGAAGTGGGAGGGGTGGATGGGGGTGGGGGCCAGGCTGTTTGGGGAGGCACAGCCTTCCCTACCCAGCTCTCCATACAGTTTTGCAACCCAATGTGGCCCTCGGGCCAGAAAGTTTGCCCATCCCTGATCTAGCTCTTTCCCTCAAACACACACACAAAAGTATATGGAGAAATCTGATATTAAAATTAAGACAAATTGCCTATGACTGAGCCCCACCAAAAAGATTCTTATTTGGAGTGTGACAGTCCATCAGTCCTATAATAAGTTAGGTGATGTCTAGCTTCCCTTGGTCATTAGTGATTAACTGAAAACTCCAGGAAGACAACCATGGCTTTTTCATAACACTGTTTTGCATCAAGTAAACAAACAAAACAAAAACAAACAAAAAAATTGTGATCCCAGCAGGGTCTCATTTCAACAAGAAAGTCTCAAAACAATAAAGTAAAAGGAAGTAAAACTAATTGGACTAGACTGAACACTGTCAGAGCTGAAATCATAGGAGGAAGAAAGGGCCTTCCATCAAGCTGACACAGCAACATTGACAGGCTATAAAGGAAGTTGCAGCCTTCTCTCCTCAGGTACAGGAACCATTGTAGTGATATGGGGGACATAGCAGATGGGCAAGAACTAGGGTTGCCAGAGCTCTCGGTTTCATCGGGAGTCTCCTAGAATCAGGCCCTATCTCCCAGAGACTACTGAAGACAGCTCAGGAGATTTTAGGCCACTAGAAGTGCAGCGGGGCTAAGGCAGGCTCCCTGCCTACCCTGGCCCCACGCTGCTCCCGGAAGCAGCCGGCACATCCTTGTGGCCGCTGGGGGGTCTCCGCATGCTGCCCCTGCCCCCAGCGCCGACTCCACAGCTCCCATTGGCTTCCGGAAACGGCGCACCGAGAGGGCAGCACATGCAGCCCCCTGCCCCGCTTACCTCGGGTGGGAGCGCAGGGGGCTAAGGCAGGCTCCACTCCTGTAGCTCCCATTGGCCACAGTTCCCGGCCAGTGGGAGCTTCGGCACTCGGGGCACAGGCAGCACGCAGAGACCCTGCCCCCTCAGGGGGCCGCAGAGACGTGTCAGCCCCTTCTGGGAGCGATGCAGGACCAGGGCAAGCAGGGAGCCTGCCGTATCCCCACTGCGCTGCTGACTGGGAGCCACCTGAGGTAAGAGCCTCCCAGCCAGAGCCCACACCCTTCACCCCTACTGCACCCCTGCTCCAGCCCTGAGCCCTCTCCTGCACCCAAACTCCCTCCCAGAGCCTGCCCATCACATCCCAATCCCTGCCCCAGCCCTGAGCCCCCTCCCGGAGCCTGCACTCCACACCCCCTCCTGCACCCAAACTCCCAGAGCCCACACCCCATACCCCCTCCAGCACCCCAAGCCCAGCCCCAAGCCCCATCCTGCACCCAAACTCCCTCCCAGAGCCCGCACCCCTCACCTCCTCCAGCAACCCAAGCCCCTGCCCCAGCCCTGAGCCCCCTCCTGCACCCAAACTCCCTCCCAGAGCCCACACCCCTCACCCCCTCCCACACCCCAATTCCCTGCCCCAGCCTTGAGTCCCCTCTAGTACCCAAACTCCCTCCAAGAGCTTGCACCCCACACCCCCTCCTGCACCCCAACCTCCTGCCCCAGGCTCAGCCCAGAGCCCCCTCTCACTCTCCAAAGCTCTTGGCCCCAGCCCAGAGCCCGCACCCCCTACCACAGCCCAACCCCCTGCCACAGCCCGGTGAAAGTGAGTAAGGGTGGGGTAGGGGGGGATGGAGTGAGCAGGGCGTGGCCACAGGGAAGGGGCATGGCCTCAGGGCAGGGGAATGGCATTTGGGTTTGTGAGATTAGACAGTTGGCAACCCTAGCAAGAACAGAAAAAGGAAAGAAAGATGAAGCTCAAAGACAAAGATTATTAGACAGAAACTCCAGACCAGATGGAGCTTTTGCCTTGAACTCCTATCACAAGTTCATATTTTTGCTTTCTAAGTAAACACAGTCTGTGAGTGAATATGAGCCAAGTAATCTGTAGGAGAGTTTTGTTCTTGGTTTTTCATTTTGTTTTTTTGTTGTAACAGTGAAGAGATGCTGAACATTTTAGAAACTTTTGCAGCATCAGCCAAGGAGTAGCCTTACATTCCTTCCCCCACCCCCATGTTTTTTTGGCTTTCTTTCACTTTTTGCTGTTAAACAAGAATCCGTGTCCCACACGGCATGTCACAGAAGCCAGAATATCAAGAAACCCACTTGTGACACAGATCATTGATGCTCTGATTTCAAAGTGTGATGTTCAAACTGCTGATGTCAGAAAGTTAAGTGGACACTTTGGGAGGGAAAAAGTATGGAATCTTTCAAAATGATTCAAACATTTCCTGTGGCTACACAACATTTGTGATGACAGGAAAGCTGTAGATCTGACTTGTTTGAAAGCTGAAATGAGAATGAAGTCTGGCAATAGTTTTCAGGCAAAACCAGGGGCACCCAAACAGCTGAGTCAGCTATTCGGAAGTGTCGAAGACTGCAGGTACTCCACAGCGTAGTGCAATTACAGGGCACTCATTGTTGCATTGCACCCAGAAGTTATATTTACGGTTAGTTGACAGAGAAAATAAAACTCTGGCATTAACTGTCTGAAATGAGATTCTCTTTCATACGGTGGGATGTTAAAGAATCCCTGTGGCATTCTCTCGCTACATTTTCTGGTTTTTTTTTCTCATAGTGGACTAGATTGCAACATTACATTCTGCTCTGAGTAAGCTGCATTGCATCAGGAGCTGATCAAAATTGTTCCAGCGGGTCTATGCCAATAGCAGATTACTGCCCCCTCCAGATCAGCTTGGCTATGCTGGCTGGCACCCTGGGATGGGAGATGGTGAAGCAAAGGCCCAGTCTGCACCCTTGCAAGGGAGGGAGTAACAGCCCCAGTGGGTATGTCTACCCTGAAATGTAAGCCCAGGGTTAGTGGGACTTGAGTCATCTGACCCATGTTAGGGAACCCTAGGCTTGAGCAGCTACATTGTATTTTAACCCTACATTAAGACTTTTCTAACATGCGCTCGAACCTAGGGTTCTGGCATCCACACGGCAGTGCGCAGATCCAAGTCAAAGTAATCATATCCCAGAGTCCCAAGAGCCTCCCTCCCCCCAAAATGTGGCTGCTCAAGCCCTAGGACTGTGGTACACTGTGGGAAAATTTTCCTGCCAGACCTGCATGTTATAGGAAGTCTGAACAGCCTGCCAAACACAGCCTGCCAAGCAGTCATTTTGGTCTGTGCACTCCCAGCTCTCGGAGCCAGCAACCTGGATGAGGTGCCTTTTGATGAACTTCTCTTTCTTGCGCTTTCACTCCCATGTCAGAAAACTGGCACAGCATCGGAGGTGCTTGTGGACATTTTGGCGGTGTTTTCTGTCCCCCCAAAGGTACCTGACAGATTTCCTGATGGAGCTGCAAGAAGAGGAGGCGCAGAGGAGGAAGAGTACCTTGGCATCTCAGACTTGCGCTGACAGATGCTGCTCAATATAACTGCATAGCCGCTGATGCCCCCTACATAGCACCACTTCTGGAGCAAAGCCACAAGCACAGACGGGTGGGATCACATCATCATGCAGATCTGGGATGACCAGGAGTAGGTCCAGAACTTTCACATGAAGAAAGCTACATTTCTGAAGCTTTGTGAGCAGCTTGTCCCCAGCATAAAGAGACACATCTGA